TAGCGCGAAGGGGTAGTAGATCGCGCCGCACGCCAATCCCAACAACATCCCCGCGACCGCGGGCCGGCGATAGAAGTAGGCCGTCCACACGAGCAGCGCGGCCGGCAGCGCGTGCGTCACGTTCCCCGTCCACAGCGCGGTGTACGGGAGCATCAGGTACATCGTCGCCGCGGCGAGGCCCAGCTGTAGATTGCCGAAGTGGTCCTTGGCCATCATCAACACGCCGAGCACGACCATCACTTGGCAGAAGATCGCCATCAGCTGAGCGGCGAGCACGTTGCGCGCGGCGTCGGCCTCTTCGACCTTTGCGGGGTCGGCGTCCGGCGCCGCTTCATCGACCAGCGCCCGCGTCGAGATCCGCGGCAACATGAGCAGCAGTGTGAAGCCCGGCCCGTGGGTGCTAAGCGTGTTTTGCTCGACCTGCGAAGCCTCGCGCTGGCTGAGGTGCTCGGCGCGCTGCACGGCCATCAGGTCCGACGGGTCGGGCTTGCCGGTGAGCACGTTCGCCGCCAAGAACGCCATCAACGACACGGCCAAGAAGCTGAGGCCCCCGCCGGTCATGTTCGGCTCCAACAGCGGCCGCCGCACCATCGACGCGTCGTAGAGCATCCGCACCAGCAAGAAGCCGTTCACCACGAGCAGCCACACGTAGCCGATGCGTTCGACGCCCAGTCCGGTAGCAGGATCGTCGGCTTGCCCGCGCAGCGCGTGCTCGATGCAGAGCAGGCCCGGCGCCAACAGGATGACCAACAAGAGGTCGAGGTTGCGCATGCAGAAGACGCGGTTGAACTTGAAGAACAACGCGATCGTCAGCAGCGAAGAGAGATACGCCCACGACGTGGGGTTCACTCGCTCGTAATGGAAGAGCAGTTCGCTCATTTTCCGCCTGGAACAGGGCGCCGGATCATTCCGCATCGCGGCGCCATCGTGGGGCCGCCCAAACAGGCTAAGCAACCCGGCCCGCGTTGCAAGCCGTTTCCACAATTAGCTTTGCGAATCAGACCCTACCCATCTTAACCCGTCGCGGGCCTCCTCGGCCCAGGGGCTTTCGGGGGCGATCTCCAAAAACCGCCGCCAGTGCGGCGCCGCGGCCTCGTGATCGCCGTGCTTTTCGCAGATCCGCGCCAAGTGAAAATGGGCGTCGGCGTAGGCCTCGTGCTGGTCGAGCGCCCCCCGCACCGCGGCGACGGCGAGCTGGTGCTCGCCCAGATCGCTGAGCACACAGCCCAGATTGACCCGGGCCTGGAGGTGCTCGGGGTCCAACTCTAACGCCGCGTAATAGCGCTCCCGCGCAGCGACCGGCTGCCCCGCGGCGTACAACCAATCGGCGAGGACAAAGTGATCCTCGGCCGTCGGCGGCGACTCGAGCATCGCCAGACGCCAGGCGTCGATCGCCTCGTCAAGCGTCCCCTCGTCGTGCAGCCGCCAGGCGCGCTCGCGTTGGGTGGTGGGTTCGGCGTCGGCGAGCGAGTCCATCCGCAAGACGGTCGGCGCGTCTTCGTCCGACACCTCGTCGAAGTCGAACCGCCGCTGCCCCGAGGCGTCGCGTAGCGCCGCCTCGCCGCGCACCAAGAGTTCACCACCCTCGATCACCAGCGGCAGCTCGGCGATCGCCCGGTCGTACGCGGGGTGCGCCGCCGCGAGCCGATCGACCACCGAGTCGATCGCCGCCAGCGAACGCCCTTTACGCAGGAGGTCCGAGAGCAGCTGCGCGACGCGGGCCTCTTCGAAATCGAAGTACGCCAGCCGCTGCACCCAGCAGGCGGGCCGGATCACGCCGCGCCGCGCCCAACGCTGCACCGCCGCGAGCGGGGCGCCGACGAGGTCGGCGAGCATCGCCGGTGAATACAACCGCCGTACGGCCCCCTCACACAGCAAGGGGTCCGCCTCGACGAGCCCCAGCTGGCGCCACAGCTCGGACTCGCTCCAACACTCGGCGCCGCTGGCGGCCGCTTCCTGCACGGCGCGCTCGCGGTCTGCCGTTGTGGCGGCTTCGCCAATCACCACGAGGTCGGGCGCCGCGTCATCGATGGCGCCGCCACGCCGCTCGACGGCGGCGGATGCTTCTCGCTTGGAGACGCCCACGAACCGCCCCACCAAACGCAGGCGGCGTCCCGACAGGACATCCAGCGGCGGAGCGGGCGTCTCGGCAGGCAACGGAAACTCGGCGGACGACTACAGGCGACGGGGAGAACAACCCGCGAGTCTTCCCGCTGGCGGCCCGTTCGTCAACGCTCGGTCCAAAGAGGGGAACCGCGAATCGACGCGAATTCCCGCGAATAACACACATCTGTGGGAGGCGTCTCCAGACGCCGATTACGCTCACCATCACGAAACGGCATGGGGCGCGTAATCGGGGTCTGGAGACCCCTCCCACATCTTCGGAGACCCCTTCCACAAAATTATCCCCACCGCGTTACGGTTTCGCGACGGGCAACGTCTCCGTAATCAACACCGTCGGCCCGCCCTCCAGCGGCTCGCCCAACTCAATCGCCGGCTCCTCGCCGTGGAGCACCCGATCGACCCACGTGCGGAACGGCCACGGGTCGCCCTGGCAGTAGCGGTTGAAGTCGCGGCCCGGGCACGTCGTCTGGTTCTTCGCGACCTTGGCGTGCGTGCTGATCGCCTCCAGCGGTAGGTCGTACTTCGACACCAGCCACGCTGCCAACCGCACGGCCGACTCGACCTGCGCGGGGCTCGGCCGCTGCTCTTCGAAGTTGCCCATCATCTCGACGCCGAGGTGGCCCGCCAGGTCGTACTTGGTGTTCGACTCGGGCTCGTACTCGAGCGGGCGCCCCTCGAAGATGCGGCCGTCGGGGGCGATCAAGAAGTGGTAGGGGAGGTCGGCCCAGAAGGTGTCGCGCGGCGGTTGCTCGATCTCCGGCCGCCGCTTCCCCCACGCCTGCATGTTGCGGATGAAGGTGACGGGGTCGCGGTCGGTGGTCCAGGTGACGCCGGCGTGATGCAACGTCACAAACCGCGGCGTATGCCGCCGCGAGTCGGGCAAAGGATCCGGCTTCGACCCCCACTCCTCAGCGGTGACAAAGTTCGCCGGCCGCGGCACGGCGACCCGCTCCGCAGCGAGGGCGGGGAGGGTAAGGAGGACGGCAAAGGCAGCAAGCAGGAGTCGTTTCACGGCGATCGTGGGTCGGTCAATCGAGGGATCGTAGGTGTGGCATTGGCTTTGCCAGTGTGACACAGTCAGGGGTCGATTCCCAGGATTGCACGAGCGGAGCCAGTGGCACAGCTTAGCGCCTTGCCATTGCCACCTGTTGCCCGAGCAAACCGATGGCGCCCCGGTAATTCGCTGGGGGCTCCGCTACCCTGCGGCCCCAGCCACCCGCTTCTGGGTAACAACGGGCTTGACTTGGCATTAAACTGGTGCATTAATGCGTGAGACGGCGATGCCCTCCATCGCACGCGCTTCGGCGCGTTGCTCGCCTCGGCGAGCATGAAGCGGGTCCTTCGGGATCCGTAAGCTGTTTCCGCTTATGCCTGGCCGCTCGTCGGCTCGGCAGACTGTGGAATGCGACGCTGCGTTGAGGCCTAGCTTAGGCCTTAGTGGTTTGAACCTATCGTAAGGTTCAAAAATTCGTCGCAACCGTTAGGAGGGTCGCATCATGCTTAATCGCGGATGCACGCTGTCGCCCGGCGAAGCCGAGCGAAGGGAAAGAGAAAGAGCGAAGCATATTGCTGAGTTCTGGAATTCAATTCGCATGGACGAACTGGACGCGACGATTTGGGAGGTGCTAGAGCCGATCGAACGCCAAGTGACCGAGTGTTTGGACCAAAGCCCCCCGCGTATTGCCGCGGCGGAGTCTCTAACAGCCCAAGCCCTGGTTGTGTTGGATGGATATGAGAAGCAATAGCACCTCCCAAAACCAACTACCAATGGCACAAGGCCATTTATGATATCTATCGGTGCTACAGCAAAACGA